TTTGGAGTGTCAATTGTAAATTGGGCTAGAAAAAGAGAGTGCAATAATATTATGTTGGTGGCTCAATTAATATTATTTAATTAATTAAAATAAGTGGTTTGGTCCACAAGTATTTTAATTAATTAAAGAGCATTTCTCCTAATCTCCTAAGGGTCCCTACTATAGCTCTATATATACACCATTAAGCTCATGGGAAGAGAAGAGATTTCCACAACTTGTGAAACACACCCCACGCCATCTTCTCTCTCTCAGTTCCCATTCAAGCTTTATCTTCTTCTTGTTGTTCCACCGATACAAGATTAAGAGGTGTTTGAGATATACAGTACAAGATCTGTAGGTAAACCGAGAAGAAATATATCGTACAGAACTAACCGGAGGTCTGATCAAGGCGTGCAGCATACCCAGGCAACTGTCTCGACGAGAGCTTTCCAATGCCACTGAGATTGCCACCGTCCAATGCCACACGCGCCCTCACTCACCACCGGAAGCTCACTGAACTGTAAGCTTGTTTTTATCCGTTTGCAACCGTTTGATCCAGTTTTCGATCTGAACTTGTTCGTGCAACCCTAAGACGTAATTTGCAGTCAATAACTCATTGGTGTGTTGTGTACGACCATCCAGAAGATCAGACAGATCGCCATAAATTTTAAGCCGTAAGTTCTCTATGCAAACCTTTAGGTCCGTTGCGCATAGGTTTACGTTTGCTATTGAATTCGTGATTTGTGCATAACGAAATCCTCATAGATTCCAACACATTGTACCACTATGCATGATAAGGTTACCTCTGTTTGTGTATCTAGTATCACTTTTCATCACTATTTGATACCATGTGAAGGGAAATTTGAAGTTTTTTTTAACTTTATTTTATTCAATTATTGTTAGATAGATGGAAGTGACACAAAGTGACATATTAGGGAGTTGTACCTATAAAAATGAATGTTTCTGTTCTCTATGCACCATGGATCAACTCTTGATGAAATGTACACTCTCATTGCTATGAGGTGGCCTAATGTTAATTTAGAATTCATCATATTATCAT